GGGCAATGTATGGGAAAGGCAAAGGATGATTGAGGGAGGTTAACAATGAAAAGTAAATATTGTTCTTAGTTCGTTCAAGAACAACAATCTTTAGATTATAAAAGTTTAAACTAAAGTTTAAAATGAATTCAGTAACAGTTCAACTTAAACTTGAACTGTTCAAATTATGCTGCAACCAGAGATATCATTCTTTAAATTCATATTGGTCTAAACTACAGTGGACCCCAGAATTCAGGAAAGAATTTTTAATCATATATCGAGTTTTAAAAAGACAATTACAAAAAGAGTTATATCTAAAAAATGAAATTTTCTAATCTTAATATCTTTGGAACCTGATAATTTAAACCTTTGAAATTTCAAAATTAGATTATTTAACCAAACATAAATCCATTATTGAAGTCTACGACATCAGGTTGCAAAAATACAAGATAAAGATATACAACATCAGGTTGCAAAGTTATTAGAAGAGTTCCTTTAAAAAATTATAGATTACTTAAAAGGGACTGTATACATATTTTCAATTGACACCTTATTTCTAGAGTAGCATATCAGATTGATAATGGTTCTCTTTAAACCTTTATTTCTAGAGCAGCATATTAGATTGATAATGGTTCCCTTTAAACCGTTATTTCTAGAGTAGCATATTAGATTGATAATCGTTCTCTTTAAACCTTTATTTCTAGATTAGCATATCAGATTAATAATGGTTCCCTTTAAACCGTTATTTCTAGAGTAGCATATTAGATTGATAATGGTTCCCTTTACAACTTTATTTCTAGAGTAGCATATCAGATTGATACTGGTTCTCTTTAAACCTTTTTTTCTAGAGTAGCATATCAGATTAATAATGGTTCTCTTTAAACCGTTATTTCTAGAGTAGCATATTAGATTGATAATGGTTCCCTTTACAACTTTATTTCTAGAGTAGCATATCACATTGATACTGGTTCTCTTTAAACCTTTATTTCTAGAGTAGCACATCAGATTAATAATGGTTCTCTTTAAACCTTTATTTCTAGAGTAGCATACCAGATTAATAATGGTTCTCTTTAAAACTTTATTCCTAGAGTAGCATATTAGATTGATAATGGTTCTTGTTACGCGAGCCATGCTGCGTGTAAAAAGTCTGCTTGTCGCCCCTGTGTGTTTCTGAGTTCCCCCTGAAGATCTGTACGGAATGTATTGTGAAAGAACTAGTTTAGGAACTGTTTACAGACCGACTGCACAGACGCAAGATTTCTCGCGGAGTAGTAACTAATTTATATCAGTATATGTTTATTCGTTTTTCAAGTATTAGCCGTGTTCAGAATTCTGGGATCACTGTGGTAACTATTTTATATATATATTTATGCTTATCGGTTTGATTATAGTATGATTGATATTTATATACGTGTTTATTGGTTCCTAGCCACAGTTTTTTAATGCCTGAGTGAATTATTTGTTGTAGTTGTATTATTTGTCACTCAAAGCTTTTTCTGTGGGTTTATTAAACTTATTTAGATTGAAGGCTCAGAGAAATAAACGTTCGGAACCTTACTATCTCCTTTTATTATGAAGAGCGTTGAGAGAAGGGAGTCTTACGATCCGGTCCTGAGAAATACCACACGGTATATATATTAGATCTTTAGGGAAATCGCTAAGTAGCGAAACAG